TGGGTAGGAGTACTTGGGCAGGTATCCTAAGTTATGCAAATTAATGTTAACACAATTGACACTCTAGATCTATTTTCTTCTACCGGAAAAAAAAAAAAAGGACAATGTATTTGCAAATATACGTGAGTTTTGACTGGGCACATTTTGTGACGTTTGGCTTGAAACATAATTTCCCACTGGACCAATACAATTTCTGAATTACTTGGTTTGGACTTGTATACACTTCTTTGATGATGATATTATCTATTACTTAACATAAATTGTAGCGTATTCCTTGTATTTTTCTTTTTGAGTAATATTTGTGTGACTCTCTACTTAGCACTACATACCCTTTTCATAAGTAATTTTTCTGATGTGGAAGCTTAAAAGTCTGTCACTAAACTAGTTACTGTGTTACAGATGTATTGTTTGACAGTGACAGCAATGTGCCAAAATGCTTTATCCATCCTCAGACAAATAATATTCAAAGTATTATGAGGAATGAACAGTTTAAAGAAAACAATAATCACAAAATCTTTGATGACTTTTGCAAAGAATGACACGATTTCTGTCCAACTCTTATCTTCTACAGGTGAAGGACTTCTACAGTCTTGGAGATAGTTGTGCAATATCTCTACGGTGATTAATTAAGACTTCACCTCGATGTTTCTATTTCTCTGTCTTTTGTTGGGAAAAAGTAAAAGTTTCAGGCATTTATCTATACTTGAATTTGGAGATTACTTAATCTTTAAAAAGTTACCTTAAATTTTCACCATAATGAACAATCACTTCAATTGGAAGGCTAGTGTCTGAAAGTGCTGCTTTTTCAGAAATTCTATTTTAGAAATTTATTGGCAGCCACTACCAAGATTGTTGCCCCTGCCTGAAAAATACATAAACAGTTTGACAACTCTATTTAGCCATAGACACAGGCCAAAATGGAGACATGTGAGTCCCCATAGTATCCTGCATATATTTGACTCTCTGTAGGCTTTGTGACCTATTAGAGTGTCTATTTTAAGGATTACATGCAACTGAAATCCTAGAATCGCTCACACTGGGACAGAGGTAGGTGGTATTGTGGAAACCAAACTGACAAACAATTCCAGGTTTTACAGGTGGCCCCCATCCCAAAATTGGTCTGTACCAAAACTGACACTGACAGTGGGATCTGGATTTTGTATTTAGGTCCATCTACATTTTAAAAATTTATCCTTTGTGTGGCTTTTACTTTTTTCTCTCTTCCTCATTTGCCTTTATATCCTTCAGAAATTCTCTTAAAGTTTGTCTAGCCACAGTGGAAGTACCAAAGCAGATTTCTTCGGGTTGTCATCCAGTACTAGGGACTATGTTAGCTAAGCTTCTCAGAGTCTAAAACTAAATAAAAGCAGTTTCTGTTCAGCCCTGTATCTCTACACTGTTCAGCTATATTATTCACAGGCTCCTAGCAGGCAAACTTCTGAAAGTTTCCCAACTTATTTAAATTAATCTAAAAAGAAATCTTCTGATATGATTATGTCATTACTGGAGAAAATTTATCTCATGTTTTGTAATCAAAAAACATCAGCTATCATCAGCTTGGTTTCAGATGAAGTTGTTTTATTATTATTTTATAAAAAATAGTTTTAAAATTACTAATTTCAGTTTCAGGAATTGGAAAATCTGGAATACTATGATTTATGCAAGGAAGAACATAATTTTCTTCTCTGTGACTTATCTTGGGGGAGATTTTTAGGTTTCTTGATACTGATAATAGTTTTTTAAAATATATACACATACATGTAATATAAAATATATCTACTTACATTTTAAATTTATGGTTGAAAATCCAACAAAGGTACTTAAAGCCATTCTCAAAATACCACAGGGTTTAGACTTTGCAATTCGTCTCAACTCTTGTGTTCATTCTCAGGAAGTTGCTCATCTTTGACAATCTGGCCTTCTAGACTTGATGCCTCGCTTAGTTTGTGCTTTCTTTCGAAGTTGAGTGTCCCTAGTTAAAAGCCTGAACTTTTTAAGGGGACCCATCCTTTGCTAGCTCTTCAGCTTTCTAATAATTCAAAAATCTTTATCAATCTCAATGATATCTAGCAACCTTAACTTAATCAAGTACAGTCTTTTATCAGTGGAAAATATCTCTCAATGTTACTGGCTGTAACCTACCATTAGTTATTTTGTATGCTTCCATAATGGCATCCCACATACCTTCTTTCCCATCTAATAGCTCTGTATGTTACAGCTCTCTCTCCTCATATGGAAATCGTTCCAGGTCTTTAATTATTTCCATTGTCCTATTCTTTTCTGGATCATTTCCACTTCTGCTATATCCCTTATGAAATTAGATGACTGAGATTTACCAAAGTATAAGACAGAAGTGGTGTTACTGACTTATGTATCACATTTTGTTATTCTCTATCTCCAAATAAACACCAGTTCTCACAGCATATTTTATGTTCTAAACATTAGTGCACACATAAAGACTTGTGTAAGACAATCTAAACTTTGTATTTTTGTCTGAATTTAGAGCAGCTCCAGTTGTACTTCCTAGCATGCATATTTTTCCATCTTAAACATATATTTGCACAGACTGAAGCTGGTATTATTTTTTGGTACAACCAAATGCTTTAGTATTCAGCCTTCATTAGAGTGGTCTTGTGCTCCAGGGTAATATTATTATTTTAACTTAAACTGTCTGGCTCCTTTTTCAGCTATGAATATTCTTACCAAAAGTGTTGGTCAGCTAGACTTAAACAGACAGTAAGTGGAAACATTTCTGCAATTATTTCTCTTTAAATTATTCTCTTTAAATAAAAAAGGTATCCAAGGAAAATTCTAACCATGTTAATACACAAAAGGTAACGGAGTCCAAAATCAAGGGTTTGAGTTAGGCTATTAGAATTATATTAGGCATTTAACTTTGCTGAGTATCTTTTACTTCCACAGTTCCTCAGAAGTAAAAATACTGCTGAAAATTCAGGTTTTCAGGCACCTGAATTTGTACCCAGGAGTCCAATTTTAAACATTCACTTCTGTAATCCTCACTCAAAGTTTTTATAAGAAGCAGCTGAGGAAACCAAGTTTAGGAAAAATGTTGGTTTGTTTGGTTTTTTTCTTTGAATCAAATTCAAAATTATTAGATAATCTGTTTCTAACCTTAAAAAGAGCTTGCAGTATATCTCTGTATGAGAATAATATATCTTTCATTTTGATATTAATTTTAAAGTACTCCTGAGCTCTATTAGAACACTCTGAACACAGCTTTGCCAGGTTTCTTTGCCAAAAGACCATAAAACATAATAAAGGATTTGCATTGCATCACAATGTTTCTCTATTGATATGAGAACAGCCTACTATGAAGGATGTTATTTAATTCAAAATGCTGGGGAACAGTATAACAGAATAAGCAGAAGGGAAAATTTAGAATGAACATGGGGGGGGGGGGGAAATTTAAAAAAAAAAAAGTAGTTTATCAACACAGGCCTAAGCATGCAACACTTCCAAAGGAAGAGATGTAATCCTCGTCACTGGAACAGTTCAGACTTAAGCCACACAAGTTGCATGGGAATATATAGCAGAGAGCAAACCCACACTGCCTTGAGCTGAATAGTTTGAATGATCTAATATGTCCTACCTCTTAAACAGAGTACTGAATAACGATGCAGGTGACAAGGTTTTGATTGGGAGGGTGGGGTTGTTGTTTGGGCATTTTGTTTGTTTTTTGCTTTTTGTTTTTTAGATAATTTATGGCGCTTAGAGCTCTAGAATTACAATGAGCAAATACATTGGACTCTTTGGACTGCTGGTACTTAACCTCGCATAGGCCTCTTTCATCCATGCTTCCACGCTCACTGAATGACTAGCACAATTCACACATCTAGAGTTTCTAAGTTTACCCTGTACCCTTTCTCAGAAGGGTTTTGATGGTTTCTTCCCAGATGGATATTATTTTCTTTCCTCAACTTTATTTCCCCCAGTATTTTTAACCCTCTGCGTGCCATACCAGACACAGCTGTTAATCCCCTTTTAGCTGTTATTCTTAGCATACGCCTTTTCTCTCATATTCTCCCTTACGTTTCTTCTTCCCTTTCTTCTGTATGGCTTTGCCTTGTTTTTCGTAGTTACTAATTTGTTCTTTCCAGTGCCCCATTTCCATCCTTTACAGTGGTCTCCATTCTTCACCCATCTCCCTTGACTAGTTCTGATGAAAGGAATTTCTTTCCAGAGACATTCTGCAGTGTCTTTAGCATTTGAAAATTGAAATCCTACCTGAATTTCTTTCTCAGTCTCTGTGAGAAACCTGTTTACTAAGAAAGGCAGACTTGAGGAGAATTGTCCTAGAGCCTTTGTCAACCCCTTCTTTCAAAAGATGTTATTTCTGTTTTTTGTGTTTGTAGTGTGCCTAATTCACCCAGAAACAAACAAACAAAATCCAGCAAGGCAGAAGGAAGAAAAATGATCCTTTATTATAAATAAAATCTCATTCAAGAGAAGATATTAATCTTTTGGATGTCTACAGCACCATAAGTGCCTACATCCAAGTTCATCAACATTATAACCCACATATATGTATAAAGTTCTGGGTTACTTTGCTTTGTTTAGTACCCTGTTCTCTCCATTGATTGTAAAGGAAGTCTAGAGAAAATTAGAGATAGGCATCCATAAAATTAACATCCACGATTGGTTGGATTACTCCCAGCACAATGAAAGAGATGCTCAGAGGAACAAATCAGTATTGCTAATGTGAAATCAATGGAATTATGGCCTACAACAGCTATGGTCAAGGTATAACAACTCGATATTAAATTCAAAAAATCAAAAATGGCCATTAGTACAAGCGTTGGCCTCAGCACTGTCTGAACCTTGCTTGATTTGTGGGTTCTCATCAGCTCTTTTGTCCTCAATTATAATGTCCTTTTCTTTCTTGGAATAAGCTCATTAAGTTCTGCCTTTCCAAAAATTCAGGACTTCCTTCAGAAAAAATTTCCCAGTACTTCTAATGTTTTGTAATGCTACTTTCTTACCTCCTTCCTTGGAACACAGGGTGATCAGAGTGTGAACTGTATCCATCAGTTCAAGCTGCTGTTTCTGCAGGACACTGTTATTGCTTGTTGCCTTGTTTAACTGCTTCTCTAGTTCCTGGATTACGTAGCTTTGTCGTGTGACCAAGCTTTGCAGGTTCTCTTTTTCTTCCTTCAAAGTGTCCAGCTCCTCTTTATGCCTTTCTTCCATTTCTAAAATTCTGTGCTCAAGTAAACTAAAATGAAATAAAACAATTAGTAGATATTATTTCATGCCAACATATTTATTAATACAGAAAACAGAACTATTTTATTTTTCACCATAGGATTCAGTACATAAATCATTTATTCTAAAAATGTCTTCTAATTCAGCCCCTTGATTTCCTCTATCAAGCAGCCAAATAAAATGGCTCTCTAAGGTTCTGTGTTGTGATGTTTGCATGCTGTAGTGCTTAGAGCAAAGTGCATGGAACTGTATATCTAGTTGTTACATCCAAGTGCACAAGCATAGGGCCAGTAACACATTTCTATATAGAAGTTCAGGGAGAAAAGCCTAAGGTAGGCAAAGGAGGGAGAAGAGCAGGGCATTGAAAAGGACATCGTTGGTAGTGTGGATGGGTCAACATGATAAGAGACAAAAATCAGGGGTAAACTAAGGAAGAGTTTGTGAAGGGCCTTACCACTGAATGGAAGATAAGCATTAGGAGCTATGGAGTACGATCAAGGGATATGGAACCTGCAATAAAAGTACCATTTGATGTGGTCTGTGAAGCTGGGAAAGGAATTGTGCACCAGATGAGTGATATCTGCTTTCACATTAAGAATAGTACTGTTCCCCCAAAAGATAAATCAGAAGTTTGCATTTTAAGGTAGGATTCCTTTGTTTTCCTTGAGTCCACATAGATATTCCCCCCCGCCTTTTCTGGTTCCACAAAAGGCTCCTCAGACAGAAAACTGTTGGGCATCCTACTATGTGACCTGCTTACATCCATTTTTATAAACAATTTTACACATGTATGGAAACACTTTCTCCTAACACATATTCTTTTTCTAGTACCCTCTCTGTCCTGTCGGAAGTGTACAATTTACAAAGATCAAAGGCACGTCAGACTATATCTAGAAGAATAGAGGAGTTGTAGACATAAAGGACAGCTAATATCTGTCAACAGTGAACAAGCACTCTTTTCAGGCCAGTGCTTTGATGCTGTGGTGGGAGTTTAGCAGAAAGATTTTATTAATATTAAAGAAGGAAATTAATTCAATCCCTGTGCTACTTTCTGTTCAGTAATTCTACTGTATACACCAAAAGAGGTGTTTCTCATGCCCATAAACAAACTGGTGGTTACAAACTTGCCAACAAACTGCTTCCTGTTCAAGTCAGTCTTAGGTTTTATTTATTTGCACTCTCCCCCCACCTTTGTTTTTACTTCTGGATAATAGATCAGTGGCAAAATGCCTGCATAATTTCAGGTCATTTAACCTAACTGAAGAATGTAATAAAATCCATATGGAGTTGTTTCTACTAGATATCACGGAGCCTTAATATGAGCTGTTACAAATGATAACAATGCAAAGATTAAATTCAGGCCCTGGATTTGCTGTACAAGCTAGAGTAATATAAAACTTTTTTTCTTTTTTTTTTTTTTTTAAATAAAGAAACCAAGCAGCAAACCTCTTTTTCTGAAATGTTATAAATGTGGGACTTACAAAGATACTGAAGAAAATATACTTTGTAATATCAACATATTCTGTCCTGTGAAACCAGAAGGATCTGGGTAAAGAGGGGAAAAAAGAAAAGATGGGAAGGGAAAACACTTCTTCGTGGGGTCCCAAACGCAAAGGGGAACATGATATCTCATTCTAAAAGGCTCATTAATTAGTAACGAAAGCATAACAAGATTCAGTGGACTGGAATCAGATGATAGAAAGTTTCAATCTGAAACAAAGTACGGATTTTGAAGCCAAAGAAAATAAATTATTTTAACACCTTATCAGACCTGTAATGGATTTTTTTCATCACTTGAACTCTAACATTAAACACGATGCCTTTATGCTCTAGACTCATATGGATTTTTTTGCGAATAGTTACATGGAAGTCTTTGAGCTTTGTTATGCAGAAGGAAAGACTAATTAGTTTAGTTAGGCAGAAGTGGTTCTGCCTAACTGAAAATGTTCTGATGGAACTGGGTTTAGTCATAAAATACTGTTAAACAAAATTTAAAAAAAATGTTCTATGTGAATTTTATCAGTTCTGTCCACTTTTTCATGGAAATTATTGAAATGCTCATTTTGACTCTAGATTTTAACTTTTCTGATAGACTATAAGTTATATCAATGCACTTTGGATAGGAACAAGGTGGGCCTTGGGCACAGTCTGTGATAGAATGGGCGCTAGGTGTGGCCACATCCCAGTCTGACATCTTACAGTCTATTGAAAATGTTGTGTATTGCCAATGTAAGAGAAGATGCCATTCTTGAAACCAGAATATTGCTTTATAGTTAAATGGTAAGTAAAGACAAAAAAAGTTCCCTTTATATTTGTCCATATCCTAATACAGTACAGGGCATTTCCCTAATTCCACAGCGTCCTATCTGCATGTCCACATTTAAATGATTTCCATACCTGAATGATTTCATGCAAAAGAAAGAACCTTTGACAGCCACAATTTGTGCATTGCATTATTTGTTTCCCACCGTAGCCTAAGACCATAGTAAATGAACCCATGGTGATGACAGTCTTATTTGTAGCAACGCTGGCCATGTCAAGCAAGAAGGAAGAATGTTTAGAGCTTCCCAGTTTGGCATCTACAGAGACAGACAGCAAGCAGATGTTTTACAGCTTTAGTAATAATACATCCTAATATTTATGAGTAGTGTGTCAACATGTGGTAGAAAGATGGGAGTGTCACAGCACTTGGTTCCTTTACAGTTTTCTATGTAGATTAAAAGTCCTGTTATTATAAACTGCAAAACTAAGCTATTTTAAGGAATGCATATGCATTTCTGCAATGATCTTTCTATATCCATAAATCTACAACACATAAGAATAAGTCCTGAGGATAGGACCACTCCCTGTATTCCTGGGAGAAATCCAAAACAGTCATTGTGTTTTACTAAGAATTGATGAGAAACCTTTGGTCAAAGCTCCAAATGAACAAAAGCAATAACTTCACATAGATTGGGAATTTCTGCACTGGCCTGTTCCAAAAGGAAGAAAACCTTAAACGGCATGAGAAAAGCTGCTGTTATGGCCTTTGACTCCAATGTGGCCAGAATTTTTCACTTGTATTGTTACATTCATATTTATTATAGCTCATTTAAATAAAAAAAAAAAAAGTGCTAGAAACCTCATCAAAAAATCTTGAAACAGATTGAAAGCAATTACAAAGACATTTAGATTTTTTTTTTTTTTAAGACTTGTGAGACCACTCTGTTCTCTCTTTTTTCCTTGTGACATCAGACAATTTTTAATAGACAAATACCATGGAGAAATAACTTTTCTGAGTGCTTGATAAAGATATTTTCTCAGTTTTTTAAAGAGGCATTATGAAGACAGAGTTAAAATGAAAATATTTCTACTAGTTTTCATTAATGAGTATTGCTGACATAAAATATTAAAGAAAACAAAAGGAAGGCTGTCTCTATACCAATTAATCCAACAATCTGTAAAGGTTGATTGAAATTGTTATATAACATTCTTTTATAACACTTTCCAGTAAAATGTTATGGGCATGATGTAACGACTGGCTCTTTTTTGCAGTAAGTTTACTGTATACGTTTCCTATACATTTGAAATTCCTAAACATTTCCTCTATGTTTGAAATTCCTATATGTTGGAAAATATTACTGACCTAAACAGATGAAGCGGTCATGGGAACTACAATACTCACAATAAAAATAAATCACCATTCACTAGAACCATCATATATATACATATATATACACACACACACATACACATATGTATATGTGAGCTGAAGGAGGAAGTGGAAAGGCTAAGGAAATTCCTATATGTTGGAAAATATTACTGACCTAAACAGATGAAGCGGTCATGGGAACTACAATACTCACAATAAAAATAAATCACCATTCACTAGAACCATCATATATATACATATATATACACACACACACATACACATATGTATATGTGAGCTGAAGGAGGAAGTGGAAAGGCTAAGGAGTATCCAGGAGTGTGAGAGGGAGATAGATTGGTGGAGCCACACCCTACCATCCCTGAGGCAAAGGCAGCAGATGGAGGCTCCACGAGAAGCAGAGGATCTCCTGCCTTCTTGCCACCAGGTAGAAAGAGGGGACCTAAGCGACAGACAGGAATGGAAACAGGTCCCTGCTCGGGGTGCCAGGCGAACCCCC